CCCCCCCACCCCCGCTTGGACGTTTGCTGGGAGGAGAAGAAGCCCCCAGCCAGCCCCGGCCACCCTCCTTTGCTCAAGTGCTTCAGTCGCGGCCACGGCCATGCTCCGAGAACTGACATCTCAGAGTATCTTAAAAGCAGCCTGACACCCCCCCCGAGAACGTCTCAACGTGTAGCATCATACAAAGAAATATTACTTAGGTGCCGTCAACGTATGTACAAACGCTAAAATTTCATTTTAAGCTCCCCGGGATTTTCAGATGAAGACCAAGATGGGCTAAAAAACCCTTTCAGGAGACAGAGGGTGGCGGCCTCCCTTCCCCCCTCCCCCTCCCCGCCCTGAACAATTGTGAAAGTCTGGACTCTGCCCCCATTCTCCGTAACGAAGCCCAAGTTCCGGCTGCGAAGTGCGCTTCACCGTCACGAAGCAAAGAAGAGCGGGCTGCACCCAAAGACCGCCAGCCGCCCACCCTGAGAGCGGCGGCCCCCGCAGGAGGCTCCTACAAACCACGGCAGAGAGGCGAGGGCTGGAGGGATTCCACTCAGCCGTCCTTAGGGAAGTGCCTTCCACACCAGGGCTGGGTCTCCCTGGAAAAGACACAAAGGAAATGCGTTTGTCAAAGAGAGGAAAAAAGCAAGCACCAGGCCTGGCCGCGCCCACTTCTGAACAGCTCGAGAAAGCAGGAGTCCGGGGGGGGGGGGGGCGGGCTGCTAAATGGCCCAAATAAAAGAAGAATCTTTCACCAACTCTTAAAATTTAATCCAGACGTAACATGCATCCAGGAAACACACATAAAGAAAGAACAAGAAAACTATTTAAAGCAACCAAATTTAGGGAGGGCTTTTATAGCATCAGATATATCAAAAAAAAAGAAAGGAGTAGTAATATATGCAAAAGACCACCTACAACCTAAGTTAGAATTCGTACTAGAAGAGGGAAGAGGTGTGGCAGTATCAATCGAAAGAGAACCTTGATATTAAACATTTACACACCTAATCAAAATCAAGCATTTTTCTTTAAACAAATCCAAGAGAAATTGATGGGGACAACCTTTGAGGAAATATGTGTGATAGGAGACTATAATTCGGTATATGACCCAATACTAGATAGGAAATATACAAAATATAAGGCACCAAAATCAAGCAACAACCTACCTAAAACCTTTTTAGATCTGGCAGAAGAACTATCACTAATAGATATCTGGAGAATTAAAAACATAGAAAAAAAAGAATACACCTATTACTCAGCTCGACATAGCGCGTGGTCGAGAATAGATATGGCATGGGTGTCGATAGACCTTGTCCAAAGTATAGAGGAGATACAAATACTACCTAGTTCCTTTGCTGACCATAACCCGATATTTCTAAAACTCAAAACAAATACTAGGAAACCAAGATGGACAATGAATCTAAATTTATTGAAAGATAAAGAGATAGTGAAGAAAACCAAAACTTTGTTACAGGAGTTTTTTAGAAACAATACCTCCAAAGATACCTCCATAGAGATAATATGGGATGCATTCAAAGCATTCATAAGAGGATGGTGGATAAATCAGGGGGCGTGGAAAAAGAAACAAGAGAGAGAAAAATTTGATACGTTAACTAGGGAAATACAAAAAGAAGAAAATAGGAATATAAAATCAAAGAAAGATTTAAAAAATGTAAGAAATAGAATAAATAAGATACAGCATCAACTTAATTTACTACTAACAAAAGAAACAGCAATGAAAATAGAAAGGGCAAAACTATATTATTTTGAGAATGCCAATAAACCCACAAGATGGCTAGCTTATAAGTTAAAAAAAGAAAAGGAAAAAAGAATAATAAAAAGACTTAAAAATGAGAATGGAGAAGAAATGACACTACAAAAAGATTTAGAAAAGATAATTCTAAAATTTTATGGGAATCTATATAAAAAAGATGAAATAGGAGATGAAGAAATACAAGATTAC